ATAAGTAATCTCCGGCCAGATTCACAAAAGCACTTACGAACCTGTACATCTTTTCTCAATCTTTGGCGGCTGTGTTCCCAATTATTAAACAGTTAATGAGCTCCGAAGCACCAGAAGGCTGTTTATAACAATAACAACAGTTGAATGGGAAGTTTTCATGCTTGTAAACTGTTTAATAAGTGTAACCAAAGCCGTTAAAGATTGAGGAAAGATGTACACGTTCGTAAGTGCTTTCGGGAATCTGGCCCCAGGGAAACATAAACACACCCCTAGGTCTAGTATATGACACATGTATATTATATTAGGCCTATGGTACCTTACATTAGGCCTGTGATTGCTGTACAGATTAGGTTACGTGGTTTAGCTACTTTCTATGGTTTTTGTGTGTCAATGGACAAATTCTGTAACACACTATAGGATTTTTTTAAATACAACTGTCTAGTTGTGTTCGTTTTACCAAATGGTTGCTAGAAGTGCTTTCATTATTGGGCTGTGTTCAGTCATGCTAGTTTAGTACTTGCTGACACCAGCCTCACCTCACTTTCTCCACCATGACCCATAACTCCTTAATGACGAGAAATAATAATAATCAATGGGAATATATACGGCATCCCAACGTTATGTTAACACTTCACTTCTCTCTGTTTCTATGTCTGTCTCTTTCTGTGTCTCTGTTTCTCTATGTTTCTGTCTGTGTCGTCTGTCCTAGACAGACTCTGTGTCCTCTCCTCAAGTTGGTGATCCAGGAAAGAAGACATTGCTTACCGTTGTTTCTCTGGAGGTTTTCTCCTGCTCTTTGTCATATTTAAGCAGCTCTACTCTCCTCTCGCGCCAGACAGTTACTGCCCCGCTCCTGTGCCAGGTAAGTCCAATACGGGCTCACCATAGCCCGTGCTACTTGGAACTTTTTGTTCAAAGTAGCGAATTTTAAACATCATCATCCTCCTCCTCTCCTCTCCTCTCCTCTTAAGCATCTCTCCTCTTCTCTTGAGCCTTTTCCTTAGTGACATTTTACGCCTCTCTCTCCCATTTACTTATTTTGAGAGTGCTGATTATCTTTTCATAAATTTGTGTTTCTGGTTTTTCCTTTTCACCCCCTCGTCTTTACCTTGCTCCTCCACGAATTTCTCTTCCTCCTCCTCCTCCTTCTCAATAACTCGAGGTCCTTCTTCGCCTTTATCCTCCACCTCCTCAATCCCCATTTACCTATAATTTTACCCGTCGTCCTCATCACTTATTGCTTCTTCACCACCTACTGGCAAGGATAAGGAAGAGGAGTAAAAGACGGGTGAGAGAAAGAGGAGAAAGGAGGAGAAGATGAGAGAGTGAGGAGGGAATCCCGGGTCGGCATCAGAAGGAGCCTCACGTCTGGTGGTCAAATTGTGAGATAAACTCTAGCCAGCAGCTTCCCATCGCCATGCTGGCGGCCCGCCTCCCACACTCTTGTATAATATGACCCGCTACACCATCCCCTGGTGTGGCTACACCCTCCCCTGGTGTGGCGTGATGCTACACCCTCCCCTGGTGTGGCATGACGCTACACCCTCCCCTGGTGTGGCATGACGCTACACCCTCCCCTGGTGTGGCATGACGCTACACCCTCCCCTGGTGTGGCATGACGCTACACCCTCCCCTGGTGTGGCATGACGCTACACCCTCCCCTGGTGTGGCATAGTAACATCACCGTAGTAAAGTATCGAAAATTGGAGAAAGGGAGGGAAGAAAATTCCTATGGCGAGGGAGGTAGAGAGGTGGAAGGGAGGCGTGTGGGAGAGTAGTGAGGGGAAAGGGGAAAGTTGTAGAATGAAAGAAAATGGGAGTGCTGCCATGGGTAAGGGCCACCTGCCATGGGTAAGGGCCACCTGCCATGGGTAAGGGTAACCACACAGGAGGTCACTACACAAACTCGTAAGGCAGGCAGGAGTTACCAAACAGAGAAGAGTCAGAGAGTGAGTGACAAGTGCCAAACTGCAGAGATGGTCTAAGAAGTGGCTTCTAGAGTTCAACACCAGCAAGTGTAACGTGATGGAAATGGGATCCGGAGCCAGGAGATCGAAAGGCCAATACACGATGAAGGGGAACCTTCACTTATATCCGGCAGGAGACAGAAACAATTGGGTAGTTTTTCACGTGATACTTCTAATAGCCTATTATCAGATATGTACCTGGGAGTTAGACAACTGTTGTGGCCTGCATTTAGCATGAGAGAGAGAGAGAGAGAGAGAGAGAAAGGGATATCGGAGATATGAAAAATAAAAATTGGTTAGAAAACTGTACATTATACAACAACGCTATGAGAGGGGGGGCCCAGGAGCTAACAATTGATCCTGTAGGCGCATATATAGGTATATATACACAAATCATTCCCCCCCCCCCCCACCCGTATCGCTAAGCCTTCTTTCCAACACAAACTGAACAAAATGAATTCTATATCTATTTAAATCTCCACCCACTACCCGTCCTCTCGTGTAATAGGTCTCATTATTTACGTAGTCGGCCGACCCGTTATATATGCAACGTAACAGTAAAAGTTAAAACACCGTAATTTTGACGTTCTCTATACAAGAGCCTCGACAGGTTAGGTGGGGCCAGACCCTTCCAAGTGCTATGTAGTCAAGCGCCAGGTAAGTCCACTACGGGCTCACCATAGCCCGTGCTACTTGGAACTTTTGGTTCACAGTAGCTGAATCTATAACAACAACAACAACAGGTACTTTATCCTCATAATTCCCTTCCCTTCTGGTTAGCAAAGCGGTCCCTGATTAGTAAGTTTTATTTTCTGATTAACTTATTACTGCTTATTGTCTGATTATTTCTATAGTAAAGTATAGAAAGTAATGTTATCCCCTCCCCCCATCAAACTTTGTTTTGACCTATGCCTCGGACAGCATTCTGTCATATGCCTCGGACAGCATTCTGTCCTATGCCCCGGACAGCATTCCGTCCTATGTCCCGGACAGCATTCCGTCCTATGTCCCGGACAGCATTCCGTCCTATGTCCGGAGAGCATTCCGTCCTATGCCCCGGACAGCATTCTACCCAGTGCCCCGGACAGCATTCTACCCAGTGCCCCGGACAGCATTCTACCCAGTGCCCCGGACAGCATTCTACCCAGTGCCCCGGACAGCATTCTACCCAGTGCCCCGGACAGCATTCTACCCAGTGCCCCGGACAGCATTCTACCCAGTGCCCCGGACAGCATTCTACCCAGTGCCCCGGACAGCATTCTACCCAGTGCCCCGGACAGCATTCTACCCAGTGCCCCGGACAGCATTCTACCCAGTGCCCCGGACAGCATTCTACCCAGTGCCCCGGACAGCATTCTACCCAGTGCCCCGGACAGCATTCTACCCAGTGCCCCGGACAGCATTCTACCCAGTGCCCCGGACAGCATTCTACCCAGTGCCCCGGACAGCATTCTACCCAGTGCCCCGGACAGCATTCTACCCAGTGCCCCGGACAGCATTCTACCCAGTGCCCCGGACAGCATTCTACCCAGTGCCCCGGACAGCATTCTACCCAGTGCCCCGGACAGCATTCTACCCAGTGCCCCGGACAGCATTCTACCCAGTGCCCCGGACAGCATTCTACCCAGTGCCCCGGACAGCATTCTACCCAGTGCCCCGGACAGCATTCTACCCAGTGCCCCGGACAGCATTCTACCCAGTGCCCCGGACAGCATTCTACCCAGTGCCCCGGACAGCATTCTACCCAGTGCCCCGGACAGCATTCTACCCAGTGCCCCGGACAGCATTCTACCCAGTGCCCCGGACAGCAGTCTGTCCTATGCCTGGGGGACAGCATAGGGAGGTACCTAAGACTACCGACTCGACCCTTACTTGGACCTGTAAGCCACCGTCCCTAAGGCGTCTTAGGCGAAAGGCAAAACCAAATTTGAGATGAACAAATTGCTAGTTTTCTCATGAAGTAAACTCTCACTTCACCCCCAGGAACAGCATGGTTACCCAGTTTGGTAACAGCGTCAGCGGTTTAAGATTCACCTACTGGTAACCAAAAGTTCCAAGTAGCACGGGCTATGGTGAGCCCGTAATGGACTTACCTGGCACAGGAGCGGTAGCTGTAACTATTGGGTGTCTAGTAGTAGGGAGGAGGACGGAGGCAGCTGCTGTTGTTGTTGTTTTTAGATTTAGCTACTCGGAACGAAGTGTCTATGTAGCACGGGCTATGGTGAGCCCGTGAGGCAGCTGCGTATGTAAGCATATATAAGCAGACCTGTGGCTCAGGTGTGGGCCTTAATGACATCCTCCATGTGGCCTTCAGGTGCAAATTAGTGCGTGTGAATAGTGCTATATCTGTCACTGGTGAGGGGGGGGGACAGATTTGCCACAATTTGTATCATTGATGTATATGTTGCTTACTGTATCAGAATATGTATACCCCTGTTTTATGTATTGCTTACTGTATCTCAGAATATGTATTCCCCTGATGTGTGTGTTGTTCATTCTCTCACAGAATTACAACTACATTAAACTTAGGGGGGGGAAAAAGGACGCGAAATCAGGAGTGTAATTTTGTCGTTTTGTTTGACATAAATTCGGCCATTGTGCTGTTTTGTGGGTTGCCTCCTTGTGAGGTGTCTGGGAGATTGTGTTGTGTCTCACTGGTGTGCTTTTGACTGGTTAGTGGATGGCATTGTTGGTGTAAGTTGTCTGTGTGTATGTACTGGTCTGTCTTGTGTGTGTATGTACTGGCCTGTCTTATGTGTGTATGTACTGGCCTGTCTTGTGTGTGTATGTACTGGCCTGTCTTGTGTGTGTATGTACTGGCCTGTCTTGTGTGTGTATGTACTGGTCTGTCTTGTGTGTGTGTGTGTACTGGCCTGTCTTGTGTGTGTATGTACTGGTCTTGTGTGTGTGTGTGTACTGGCCTGTCTTGTGTGTGTATGTACTGGCCTGTCTTGTGTGCATGTACTGGCCTGTCTTGTGTGCATGTACTGGCCTGTCTTGTGTGCATGTACTTGCCTCACCTACATGTGCAGGCTAGACGAACTTCGGCTCCTGGTCGCCCATTGCACCAATAGATCCCCCCTCACTCTCGTCTCTTCTCAGTCCTACTCTTGAAATGTCTTAAGGAAGTAACCCCATGACAGATCAGATAAGCTTACATGAAGTTAACTCCTTTTTTGACAATTTCTCTACCTGAATACCTTCCTTCCTGTCTGTCTGTCTCTGTTTTTCTACCTTTCAAGTGCTCACATGCTATGAGTTACTACTTCCATATATGTAGATATTCTTGAATTTGACCGAGGCTGGGATAACCTATAAACTCACATTGATTCTCGAGATATTAATATTTATTTTCCCTTTTCTCTCTACCGCTTCATCGACTATGGTGTTCCTACCATTGTTGTGGTCTGATGATAGTGACATGATGGTGGTATGTGGCCGCCACGGTAGTTATATTGGTTCATGGTGTTAGGTTATGGCTGAGACAGGCATAACCTAATTACTGTGACCATGGTAGAGATCTTGTTTCTATAGCCATTAAGGCGTCTTGTTCATGGTTATTGGCCCTCTGTCCATGGCATTTCTTTGTTTATAGCCTTGGTATGTGTCCATGAGATTGGCTCGTGTGTCATATATGCATTGGAGTGTATATTTTTAACATGGATACATGGAATTCATACATATTAGTGGTAGTGACACGCGTGATAAGTGTCTGTATACATTTTACCTCACTATATATCCACGTCGATATGTTCTTGGGAGACTTAAATATTCGCTTGACTCAGATGTATATATCCCTCGGGACGATGTATATTTGCAATAGCGAGGTGTATATCCTTGAGGAATTCAAGTTGTGTATTGGTGTATGATACTATAAATAACTGTTTTGACTTGGAATATTTCAGACAGGAGGCCCTTCTCCGCCCCCGCCCCCTAGCAATATAAACTTGATGTGTATATAGAAGACAGAAAATGGCAATGTACATGGAGTAGAGAGAGAGAAAGAGAGAGAGAGAGAGGGAGGGAGAGAGAGAGGGAGGGAGAGAGAGAGAGAGGGGGAGGGAGAGAGAGAGATTATAATACACTGTTCCTTTTCGCTACTGTTACCTGTGTTTGATTATCGTTCCGTGTCACCTCTGTAGATTATAATTGATGCATTACAAAAAATTCATTGAATATCACTACAATTAAGGTTAATTAATTAATTAGCGTTAATTTACACTTTTGTTTCTTCGTTTCATTTTTATTTGAACATTTTACATTTTTTTTATTTATATTTATATATTTTTTACGAGTAAAGCAGCAAGTTGTTACCACAACATTTTGAGTGGGAGAGATTTTATTATGGAAAGTTATGCCACTCTGATTAATATTACTTTTTCAGGGGATTTTGGAGTCATATGCACGCTTTGTTTTGAATGTGTTCTTTTTGTCTGTGTCTGTGTTTGGTGTATGGATGTGTGTTTCCGTGTATATTGTGGTGTGGCGAGGCGTGAGGCAAGGGGGAGGGTCGCCCCCTTCAGCAATCACTGTACACAACAGTGCTGTTGGGGAGGGGGGGGGGGGCTGGGGAGGGGGGGTTGGTGGTGGGGGGGGGGTGCCTCCTGCTCTTCCTCATACTCCTCATCCTCCTCATGATACTGTTGCAGCCCTCCTACTGTTGCTTGTTATTGCAACTGTTGTTTCTCCTGCAGCGAGCGATGGTGCTGCTTTTGTTCCTCTTTTTGTAACTGATTTTAAGGTTGTTGTTGTTGTTGTGACCACTGTTGCTATTGTGACCTCTGATACTGTTGTTGCTGTTGTGACTTCTGTTGTTGTTGTGACGTCTATTGCTGCTGTTGGTGTGACCTCTATTGCAGCTCCTGTCTCTGCTGTTGCAGCTACACTGTGTCTTCTGTTGCAGCTCCTGTCTCTGCTGTTGCAGCTCCTGTCTCTGCTGTTGTAGCTCCTGTCTCTGCTGTTGCAGCTACACTGTGTCTTCTGTTGCAGCTCCTGTCTCTGCTGTTGCAGCTCCTGTCTCTGTTGTTGCAGCTACACTGTGTCTTCTGTTGCAGCTCCTGTCTCTGTTGTTGCAGCTACACTGTGTCTTCTGTTGCAGCTCCTGTCTCTGTTGTTGCAGCTCCTGGCTCTGTTGTTGCAGCTCCTGGCTCTGCTGTTGCAGCTCCTGGCTCTGCTGTTGCAGCTCCTGGCTCTGCTGTTGCAGCTCCTGGCTCTGCTGTTGCAGCTCCTGGCTCTGCTGTTGCAGCTCCTGGCTCTGCTGTTGCAGCTCCTGGCTCTGCTGTTGCAGCTCCTGGCTCTGCTGTTGCAGCTCCTGGCTCTGCTGTTGCAGCTCCTGGCTCTGCTGTTGCAGCTCCTGGCTCTGCTGTTGCAGCTCCTGGCTCTGCTGTTGCAGCTCCTGGCTCTGCTGTTGCAGCTCCTGGCTCTGCTGTTGCAGCTCCTGGCTCTGCTGTTGCAGCTCCTGGCTCTGCTGTTGCAGCTCCTGGCTCTGCTGTTGCAGCTCCTGGCTCTGCTGTTGCAGCTCCTGGCTCTGCTGTTGCAGCTCCTGGCTCTGCTGTTGCAGCTCCTGGCTCTGCTGTTGCAGCTCCTGGCTCTGCTGTTGCAGCTCCTGGCTCTGCTGTTGCAGCTCCTGGCTCTGCTGTTGCAGCTCCTGGCTCTGCTGTTGCAGCTCCTGGCTCTGCTGTTGCAGCTCCTGGCTCTGCTGTTGCAGCTCCTGGCTCTGCTGTTGCAGCTCCTGGCTCTGCTGTTGCAGCTCCTGGCTCTGCTGTTGCAGCTCCTGGCTCTGCTGTTGCAGCTCCTGGCTCTGCTGTTGCAGCTCCTGGCTCTGCTGTTGCAGCTCCTGGCTCTGCTGTTGCAGCTCCTGGCTCTGCTGTTGCAGCTCCTGGCTCTGCTGTTGCAGCTCCTGGCTCTGCTGTTGCAGCTCCTGGCTCTGCTGTTGCAGCTCCTGTGACTGTTGTTGCAGCTCCTGTCTCTCCTGTTGCAGCTCCTGAGACTGTTGTTGCAGCTCCTGTGACTGTTGTTGCAGCTCCTGTGACTGTTGTTGCAGCTCCTTTCTCTGCTGTTGCAGCTCCTTTCTCTGCTGTTGCAGCTCCTGTCTCTGCTGTTGCAGCTCCTGTGACTGTTGTTGCAGCTCCTGTCTCTGCTGTTGCAGCTCCTGTCTCTGCTGTTGCAGCTCCTGTCTCTGCTGTTGCAGCTCCTGTGACTGTTGTTGCAGCTCCTGTGACTGTTGTTGCAGCTCCTGTCTCTCCTGTTGCAGCTCCTGTGACTGTTGTTGCAGCTCCTGTGACTGTTGTTGCAGCTCCTGTGACTGTTGTTGCAGCTCCTGTGACTGTTGTTGTAGCCACTGGTGCTGGTGGTGGTGTTGTGGCCACTGGTGCTGGTGGTGGTGTTGTGGCCACTGGTGCTGCTGGTGGTGTTGTGGCCACTGGTGGTGCTGGTGGTGTTGTAGCCACTGGTGGTGCTGGTGGTGTTGTAGCCACTGGTGCTGCTGGTGGTGTTGTGGCCACTGGTGCTGCTGGTGGTGTTGTGGCCACTGGTGCTGCTGGTGTTGTAGCCACTGGTGCTGCTGGTGTTGTAGCCACTGGTGCTGCTGGTGGCGTTGTGGCCACTGGTGCTGCTGGTGTTGTAGCCACTGGTGCTGCTGGTGTTGTGGCCACTGGTGCTGCTGGTGGCGTTGTGGCCACTGGTGCTGCTGGTGTTGTAGCCACTGGTGCTGCTGGTGTTGTGGCTGCTGGTGTTGTGGCCACTGGTGCTGGTGGTGTTGTGGCCACTGGTGCTGCTGGTGTTGTGGCCACTGGTGCTGCTGGTGGCGTTGTGGCCACTGGTGCTGCTGGTGGCGTTGTGGCCACTGGTGCTGCTGGTGTTGTAGCCACTGGTGCTGGTGGTGTTGTAGCCACTGGTGCTGATGGTGGTGTAGCCACTGGTGCTGATGGTGGTGTAGCCACTGGTGCTGCTGCTGGTGTTGTGGCCACTGGTGCTGCTGGTGTTGTGGCCACTGGTGCTGCTGGTGGCGTTGTAGCCACTGGTGCTGCTGGTGTTGTGGCCACTGGTGCTGCTGGTGGCGTTGTTGCCACTGGTGCTGCTGGTGGTGTTGTGGCCACTGGTGCTGCTGGTGTTGTAGCCACTGGTGCTGCTGGTGTTGTAGCCACTGGTGCTGCTGGTGTTGTAGCCACTGGTGCTGCTGGTGTTGTAGCCACTGGTGCTGCTGGTGTTGTGGCCACTGGTGCTGCTGGTGGTGTTGTGGCCACTGGTGCTGCTGGTGGTGTTGTAGCCACTGGTGCTGCTGGTGGTGTTGTGGCCACTGGTGCTGCTGGTGGTGTTGTGGCCACTGGTGCTGCTGGTGTTGTGGCCACTGGTGCTGCTGGTGTTGTGGTCACTGGTGCTGCTGGTGGCGTTGTGGCCACTGGTGCTGCTGGTGGCGTTGTGGCCATTGGTGCTGCTGGTGTTGTAGCCACTGGTGCTGCTGGTGTTGTGGCCACTGGTGCTGCTGGTGTTGTGGCCACTGGTGCTGCTGGTGTTGTGGCCACTGGTGCTGCTGGTGTTGTGGCCACTGGTGCTGCTGGTGTTGTGGCCACTGGTGCTGCTGGTGTTGTTGCCACTGGTGCTGCTGGTGGTGTTGTGGCCACTGGTGTTGCTGGTGGCGTTGTGGCCACTGGTGGTGCTGGTGGTGTTGTGGCCACTGGTGCTGCTGCTGGTGTTGTGGCCACTGGTGCTGCTGAGTAGTAGGGATGACATGCCACAGGTCCCCATTTTTTTTTTTTGCCAGAGGACCCCTGTGGGGTGTAAGCGCTACAGGGGATATTTTTTTTTGGGCAGAGGACCCCTGTGGGGTGTAAGCGCTACAGGGGATATTTTTTTTTGGGCAGAGGACCCCTGTGGGGTGTAAGCGCTACAGGTGATATTTTTTTTCAGATCAAATATCCCCTGTAGCGCTTGGGGGTTTTCAGGTCAAATATCGTGCGTAGCGCTTCGGGGTTTTCAGGTCCGAAATATCGTGTGTAGCGCTTTAGGGTTTTCAGGCGAATTTGGGGAGTCACAGATTTAGAATTAGGGAATTCTTATAATGAAAAATAATGTCATACGAGTTTGCTAAAGTTCTTATAAGAAAAATAATTTCCGAGACTTAGAAGTTTGTTAAGGCCTTATGGGAGAAATTCAAATAACGTGTGTAGCACTTTAGGGCTTCCAGGAGAACTCTACGGACATATTTTACATGTTTTCAACTTACAAAATCGTCTATGTAAGCCTTAGTTATTCATATAAATTTAGAAAATCACCTGTGTAAGTCATTGTTTTCAGGGTTTCGTACATCACACCCCCCTCCCTCCCCCCTTACCTCGCAATCTGTCGCATCACCTGTATTTACTTTAGACGTCAGCCAGACACGGCCTTCAGGTCACCTCGGTAATCTTATCTTATCTTATCCATAATATCTGGACCGTCCCTCCTCTCTCTCTCTCTCTCCCTCCTCTCTCTCTCTCTCCTCTTCATATTATTCCCTCTTCCTATTTTCTGACATACTATATTTTATTCCTTTTTCATTAACCAGTCAGTTTTATACAAATCAACCGAAGCATCTCAATGTAACCTTTAATACTGAAAACTGCCTCAGAGACTATCTAAGCTGGCCCCAGCTACCTGCCCCAGGCTATCTGCCCGAGGCAATCATCACCTGATTACCTGCCCCAGACAACCACCAGTCATTGTCAGCGTTCACCACCGTCCATTAACAATGAATAAACTTTAGGCGTAATAAAACTTATTTATTTATTTAGTCATCTAATTCGTAGTTTACACAATTTATAATAAACTAATCAGTTATCCCGAAGTTCTAAGAAGCTCGCTCCTCAATCTGCCTGTATAATAACAGTTTCAGATAGCGTTTACGCATGTAGCCGCTACCTCCGTCCCTATCTCACAAGGCGGAGGGTCATCTCCGTAATCATACACTATCTAGCGTAGCCTCAACACCTGTTCATACCTCTCACCCGCTCGCATCTCACTCCTGCATCACCTACACCGACCCCCACCGAACGCCGCTGCTATCTTATCGTCACAATCTTATCTAGACCTGTCTCTCTCTACCTTACACCTTACTCTCCCTAATCATTATCATTAATATTGTTCTTTCTCAAATCCGTACAGCTATATGAACTTTGTAATACTAGTTCCATACATTAAACAAAACAGTTTTCTCAAATCAATCGGTTCAATTGTCAAACCTTAGCTCATGTCCTCGCATTACTTCCCTCGCACATCTTGTTTATTAACCCCATCATACCTGGTAAATAAGAACAAGACAGTTACTAAGCTCCAGCTCTCATCGCCGCTTTAGTTCTCTCTCGTATCTTCGTTAATAACAGTCCAATTTCCCTTAAATTTTACCCTCTGTATTTCAGACACCATAAATAAAAACCAGTTCAGTTATCAAGTTTCAACTCTTGTGCCCCAGCTTAGTTCATTTGTACAAGTTCATTATTTCCAACTAAATCATCCTGAGATTTAAGATCACCGTATTTCTAACGTAGTAAATTAATCGGGGGCATTAACCAAGCTACATTTCCTCTGTCTTAGATCATCAGACATAATTATATCCGACCAAATTCCTCTCCTACATATCTGCTTATCAGAATAATTACATTACCCTCCCCTCCCCAACGTACCCAAACCTTCAATAATCATACTGTATTTGCATATTTTCTCTATATTCAGCTATGTTCTTCACTTTTTGTCCACGTTTTCTGCGTTCATTCCATATTCTACAAATGGTCACAGCATGCTCAGTTCAAATGTTTTTTTCTGCCGTTTTCCCCGTATGTTCACTATGTTCTATAATGTTCACAGCGTGCTCAGTTCAATTCTTTTCTACCACTTTCCCCATATGTTCACTATGTTCTTTGTCATGTTTTCTTGCACATCATATGTTCCCTGTATAACTTTTATACTCAATATTCATATTCTCAATGTTCTTAGCACATTCTTCGCATTTTCCATGTTTTTCTGCTTTCATTCTATGTTCTATAAATGTTCACAGCGTGCTCAGTTCAATTCCTTTCTACCACTTTCCCCATATGTTCACTATGTTCTTTGTCATGTTTTCATACACATCATATGTTCACTGTATAACTTTTATACTCAGTATTCATGTTCTCAATGTTCTTAGCTTGTTCTTCACACGTTCAGTGTTCATTCTTTGTATTCCCTATGTTCCTTATCATGTCTTCATAATCTCTATAAGTTCATATTCCCTGCATTCTCACTCTATTCATCAACTGTTTCTTACATGTTTTCTGTGTTCACCGTATGTTCACTGTGTTCATTCCCGTACTTAACCTCAATTTTTTTATGTTCTTTGTTTTCTTCCATTCGCTAACTAGTTCTTTGTCAAATAATATTATACCGCATTACAGTTCCCTCAACAATTTTAGTCGTCAAGTTTTATTTTCAAAACTATATCAAAGTATTTCTCGTTGTCAACTTAATAGTTCTACCAGCCATGTTCTTAAACAAATCTACACTTTATTCAGTTCCAAATTTACAAAAGACAAACCTTTCTTGCACTTTGTCATGTTTTCTTGTGCATCATATGTTCTTCACAAGTCCATTGTTCATTCTTTGTATTCCCTATTCTCCTTATCATGTTTTCATGTTCTCTGTAAGTTCATATTCCCAGCATGTTCACTGTATTCATCAACTTTTTCTTACATGTTTTCTGTGTTCACCGTATGTTCACTGTGTTCATTCCCCTACTTAACCTCAATTTTTTATGTTCTTTGTTTTCTTTCATTCGCTAACTAGTTCTTTGTCAAATAATATTATACCGCATTACAGTTTCCTCAACAATTTTAGTCACCAAGTTTTTATTTGCAAAACTAAGTCAAAGTAATTCTCATAGTCAACTTATTAGTTCTACCAACCCCCCCGTTCGTAAACAAAAATCTACACTTTATTCAGTTCCAAATTTACAAAGACAAACCTTTCTTGCAACTTCTTAACTAAAAATTGTTTCGCCAATCAACTAAAACATAGTCACATTCATCTTTTCTCAACTAAACTTATTCCCCAGTCAACTAAAAATAGTCACTTCATCATGTTTCCTTTTCATTTCTTAACTGAAATATCACTCCTCTCATCAGAAAATAGTCAGGATTAATCTCATTCAACACCTCAACACCTGTTCATACCTCTCACCCGCTCGCATCTCACTCCTGCATCACCTACACCGACCCCCACCGAACGCCGCTGCTATCTTATCGTCACAATCTTATCTAGACCTGTCTCTCTCTACCTTACACCTTACTCTCCCTAATCATTATCATTAATATTGTTCTTTCTCAAATCCGTACAGCTATATGAACTTTGTAATACTAGTTCCATACATTAAACAAAACAGTTTTCTCAAATCAATCGGTTCAATTGTCAAACCTTAGCTCATGTCCTCGCATTACTTCCCTCGCACATCTTGTTTATTAACCCCATCATACCTGGTAAATAAGAACAAGACAGTTACTAAGCTCCAGCTCTCATCGCCGCTTTAGTTCTCTCTCGTATCTTCGTTAATAACAGTCCAATTTCCCTTAAATTTTACCCTCTGTATTTCAGACACCATAAATAAAAACCAGTTCAGTTATCAAGTTTCAACTCTTGTGCCCCAGCTTAGTTCATTTGTACAAGTTCATTATTTCCAACTAAATCATCCTGAGATTTAAGATCACCGTATTTCTAACGTAGTAAAATTAATCGGGGGCATTAACCAAGCTACATTTCCTCTGTCTTAGATCATCAGACATAATTATATCCGACCAAATTCCTCTCCTACATATCTGCTTATCAGAATAATTACATTACCCTCCCCTCCCCAACGTACCCAAACCTTCAATAATCATACTGTATTTGCATATTTTCTCTATATTCAGCTATGTTCTTCACTTTTTGTCCACGTTTTCTGCGTTCATTCCATATTCTACAAATGGTCACAGCATGCTCAGTTCAAATGTTTTTTTCTGCCGTTTTCCCCGTATGTTCACTATGTTCTATAATGTTCACAGCGTGCTCAGTTCAATTCTTTTCTACCACTTTCCCCATATGTTCACTATGTTCTTTGTCATGTTTTCTTGCACATCATATGTTCCCTGTATAACTTTTATACTCAATATTCATATTCTCAATGTTCTTAGCACATTCTTCGCATTTTCCATGTTTTTCTGCTTTCATTCTATGTTCTATAAATGTTCACAGCGTGCTCAGTTCAATTCCTTTCTACCACTTTCCCCATATGTTCACTATGTTCTTTGTCATGTTTTCATACACATCATATGTTCACTGTATAACTTTTATACTCAGTATTCATGTTCTCAATGTTCTTAGCTTGTTCTTCACACGTTCAGTGTTCATTCTTTGTATTCCCTATGTTCCTTATCATGTCTTCATAATCTCTATAAGTTCATATTCCCTGCATTCTCACTCTATTCATCAACTGTTTCTTACATGTTTTCTGTGTTCACCGTATGTTCACTGTGTTCATTCCCGTACTTAACCTCAATTTTTTTATGTTCTTTGTTTTCTTCCATTCGCTAACTAGTTCTTTGTCAAATAATATTATACCGCATTACAGTTCCCTCAACAATTTTAGTCGTCAAGTTTTATTTTCAAAACTATATCAAAGTATTTCTCGTTGTCAACTTAATAGTTCTACCAGCCATGTTCTTAAACAAATCTACACTTTATTCAGTTCCAAATTTACAAAAGACAAACCTTTCTTGCACTTTGTCATGTTTTCTTGTGCATCATATGTTCTTCACAAGTCCATTGTTCATTCTTTGTATTCCCTATTCTCCTTATCATGTTTTCATGTTCTCTGTAAGTTCATATTCCCAGCATGTTCACTGTATTCATCAACTTTTTCTTACATGTTTTCTGTGTTCACCGTATGTTCACTGTGTTCATTCCCCTACTTAACCTCAATTTTTTATGTTCTTTGTTTTCTTTCATTCGCTAACTAGTTCTTTGTCAAATAATATTATACCGCATTACAGTTTCCTCAACAATTTTAGTCACCAAGTTTTTATTTGCAAAACTAAGTCAAAGTAATTCTCATAGTCAACTTATTAGTTCTACCAACCCCCCCGTTCGTAAACAAAAATCTACACTTTATTCAGTTCCAAATTTACAAAGACAAACCTTTCTTGCAACTTCTTAACTAAAAATTGTTTCGCCAATCAACTAAAACATAGTCACATTCATCTTTTCTCAACTAAACTTATTCCCCAGTCAACTAAAAATAGTCACTTCATCATGTTTCCTTTTCATTTCTTAACTGAAATATCACTCCTCTCATCAGAAAATAGTCAGGATTAATCTCATTCAACACCGTTCTTAACTAAAACAGCCTTTCACTTAGCTAAAAATTGTCAAAGGAATTCTTTTCAGCACAACTAACTTTATCCATCATCAAGTAATTAAAAAATAGTCTCATTCATCATTTCGTAACAACCATTATGTTTTCGTCAAATAAGAAAATATAGTCACAGATATCTATCATCGTCATTCTTAACTGACATTTTATACTTTGTCGAGCACTAAATAGCCACTTTCGTCATGTTTTGTCTTTTTCCATAACTAAAAGTATTCATCGGTCAACTAAAAAATAGTTACTTCATCATGTTTCCTTGTCATTTCTTAACTGAAATATCACTTCTCTCATCTGAAAATAGTCAGAAATAGCCTCGTTCAACACTGTTCTTAACTATGTAACCTTTCACTTCGCTAGAATAGTCATATTCATCGTTGTTCCTAACTAAATTATATGTCGGTAAGTAAGAAATATAGTCAAAGACACTCTTCGAGACATCAAGGACTTACTCAAAGACATCAAAGTTACACTCAAAGACGTCCTTTTCATTAATCAGAGAAACTTTCTAAGACGTCTTTGTTC